CTCGCACGACTTTTTTTTTGTTATGGGATAAGGGTGACAAACGAGCACACAGTCCACCTGATGGTAAGTGGTAAGCTGCGGCCCACAGACATCTACATCTATCCTCTGTTAAAAATCAAAATGTAGATGCGTTGTCACCCGTGAGAACTAAGATGGAATGCCTCATTTCCAGTAAAAAGGGCCTCCGGCCACCTGCACTCACCAAGCGAAACGCAGAGGTAAACCTCTACTTCACGCTGGTTTTCTGTGAGGTCGTGGTACTACCCCGGTTCGAGCCGGCCCATCCGTGCGACAGCAAAAGCTGCCGCGTGGCTCTACCACTGTTAAGTCTGTATTCTGCGACTTCCTTCCTGACTTCCTTGTGAAATCGATTACCATCAGCGATCTTTCGGGACCAATACGACTTAGGGACCTTCAAGAAAAGAGCCTACACCTTTTTAAAAGGCCGGCAACGCATCTGCAATTCCCCTGGTGTTGCAGTCAAAAGTTATGACGTAACACACATAATAAAACATACAGTCGAATGGAGTACCTTCTCCTTTTTGAAGTCGGTAGAAAAGAAGGTGTACCTACGGATACTTCAATGAGTTATAGTTGTTTTCTGCCAAATAAACTTTTTTCATTATTTGTCAAGATTAGTCAGTGCATATTACTTCACAACTTACCATCAGTCGAAATGATACTCGAGCACTGGCTTGTATAATTAACAAAAATTAAAAAAAAAAATTGCTTTAATAATGTATAACCGCATAGAGACGGTGTAAAAATATCCAATACCCCATCTCGTTACTTGGATCTCGTAAGCGGCGACAGTAAGAACTCAAAAAAAAAAAAAAAAACAGCGGTTGACAACCCGCTTGCAAAGCGACGCAACTACGGCGAATCCCCCCTTTGAGGCATTGTGGGGACGGGCTATTTTCAACAGTAGACTTATGACTGCAAGCACAAGCCAATACACTTAAAAAAATTGGCGAAAATACGGATAAGCTATAAAGGTGTATTAGGAATACGATTAAATGAAACTAATTGTTTTACGAATTTTATCGCGTATATTAACTTATTTTGTATTCCCGACGTTTCGAGTACTTGACAGCACCCATGGCCACGGAGGGGACTGGGATGTTTGACGTACCAATGTCATAGTTAACCACGGCTACCATCAGTTTAATTACATAGGCTGCACTAAAAGTATCAGGAATGGAATATTTCCACTGTTCCTGTCATATTAAAATCTTGTTAATTGAAAATTCCTTGGTTTTAAAAATCGAATAGCATTTATTTATTTAAAAAAAGATTCTCGGTCTTGTCACAAGGTTTTGTCAAACTTGTTTAGTCGTTGAGATAATGGAATTGACTCGAGAAAATTCAAGAGCGATGAGTTATTATGACTTTCAAAGTGGTTTAACACAAAAACAGTGTGTTGACCGGATGATTTCTGTATTTGGTGATGAAGCCCCATCCAAAACCACAATTTATCGCTGGTTTGCTGAATTTCAACGTGGACGTGTCAAGCTCAGTGATGATCCCCGTCAAGGTCTTCCAAAAACTGCAGTCACAATATAGATAATTTTTGACCCAATCTACGCAAAATTGGGATTTATTAATTATAGGATCCCAAGCCGATGGTAGCACTCGGCTATCTTCTCTATTGAAATTAGGGTGTTTTTTGATTTCAATAGCCTTTCAAATCAATGTTAGAAGGAATCGGTGTTCTATAGCAAGGATTTGTGGTCAATCGAATCTGATGTAGTGGCGGGGGCGATCCTATACGTGTTCGCAGAATACAGACTTCAGTAAACACGTGCTAATAGTCAAGCACAACAATGAAGGGGCCCTGGTTGCGTTCCGCACGGAGATATTGGGTCCCTTTGTATACGTTGATGGTGACCACAGTGGGGTTTTGCCGGTAGGAGTCCGATTACCCCACGGTAATCCTTTCTTTGCCCCTGTAGCGGAAGGTGTCCATGAGGGTTTTCCACACGATAAAAAAAAATTTAAGCACTGTCTATTATAATCAGCAAAATTCTTATTATTCTAATTTTGATTCGCAAACGATGATAAATGTAGATGTCTATGGGCCACAGCAACCACTTACCAGCAGGTGGACTGTGTGCTCGTTTGTCACCCTATCCTATAAAGAAAACAGTAAACAACAGCAGCACGGTCTTCCTTGCCTACACTAGTAGAATACCCTAACGGGCGTAGTAAGGACATTGAGATTCGTAGAATTACCGACTGATCCCTCTGTCGACCACGCGATACTTTATACTGTTATTCGCGACTTCTTTCGCGTGGAATTTATTATGATTGGGTTTCATGGATTTTAATTTTTTAGCACAGAACCCAATTCCTTTTCTAAAACAAAAGTAGCCTAAGTTACGCCTTATAACATCAGCTATCTGCCAGTAAAAGTCCCGTCAAAAGCGGTTCAGCCATTTCTGAGAAAAGACGGACCAAACAGACAGACAGAGAAAAAATTTAAAAATTGTTATTTTGTTGTAAATACCGTATATATAGTTTCATATGCATTTAGTAAAAAACTGTTATTTTGACATTACAAACAGACACTTCAATTTTATTCATTTGTATAGATATAGATGCAATGACAATTTAACATCGCTTTTAAAAAATAGACCCCAGAGTTTCAAAGAGGAAAAAGAAATGTCAGAGTAGTGCATAAATAATCACAATTAGTAGCCATTAAGTGAAGAAACACAGCTTGTTTGTATATTTTTGATTCTATTACAATTTTCTTTTCTTATATAAGTTTACCTTGTAGTGGCGGTGTAAGAATTTTTTTTTTAGTATAAGGGTGACAAACGAGCAAACAGTCCACCTGATGGTAAGTGGTTGCTGCGGCCCATAGACATCTACATCTATCCTCTGTTACAAATCAAAATGTAGATGCGTTGTCACCCGTGAGGACTAAGATGGAATGCCTCATTTCCAATAAAAAGGGCCTCCGGCCACCTGCACTCACCAAGCGAAACGCAGAGGTAGTAAACCTCTACTTCACGCTGGTTTTCTATGAGGTCGTGGTACTACCCCGGTTCGAGCCGGCCTATCCGTGCGACAGCAAAAGCTGCCGCGTGGCTCTACCACTGTTAGTAGAATATCCACTACATTATATCATCTCGTGGGTGTCGTAAGAGGCGACAGAGGGAAACAAATCAGGAGTTGGGCAGCAGCGTCCTCCTAATAACGAATAAACATAAAAAATAAGATTGCATTACTATCCCGCTCGCCAAGCGTGGCAATGATGTTGCCTGAATGGCTGATGATAAGTGGTTGCTGTGGCCCACAGACATCTACATCTACCCTTGTTTGCGATTCAAAATGCAGATGCGTTGTTAGCCGTGAGGACTAAGATGGAATGCCGCTTTTCCAGTAAAAAGGGTCTCCCGTTCTCTACACTCACCATACGAAACACAGCAGTATTAAGCTGCTATTTTTCGCTTGTATTCTGTGAAAGCGTGGTTCTTCCCCGGTCGAGTCGACCCATTCGTGCTACAACTTTACAATTAATATAGCTCCAGCATGGCTCACCACTGTATCTAACGGTAACGGAATATAAATTTATAACTTCATGAGAATTTTTTTGAAATACATTTGATGAAAATACCATTATATATATTTATAAGGTCTTTCTAATCTTCTATTTTAAAGCTGGATTCAGAGATTACTAGATGAGACAAAATTTGTAGCTATTTTATATAGTTTTTCATTTTTATATAAATTTATAACTTCGGGGTACAAAAAAATATTTAAAATACATTTAATGAAAATACTAGCTACACGTTCGATTCAAAGGTAGATGAAGCAAAATTTGTAGCAATGATATTCGCACAGGAACTATTCACAAACAAATTCCTACTAAATTTAATAAAAGGTAAGACAAAAACAAAGACATCGCTCCCGATACGTCAGAACCCCAGTCCCCGCATTCTTTATTCAACAGCGTCCGAAAATTAAACGTTTCTCTACAAGAAATCGCACTCAGAACGACGCAACTGAAATATTTCCAACGGCTACGTTCGAGCGCACTTATTTACTTTAAACGCAGCTATAGAGCGCCCTGTATTTGTTCCTTTTTTTATTACAAAAAACCGGAACGCCCTGCGTTACATACAGCCATAATATTTCAATATCACAGTCCAGCCCTGGAACGCTTCAAGTGAATTCCGCGGGCTCTCATTGGTCTATCCGAAAACGTTCGATATTCAAAACTGCTGCCTAAGAGAGACAGCAATATAGCCAATGGCGGGAAAATGGGCGAGTTAGAAAGAGAGGGTTATTGTTGTGTCAGCAGTTGAATTTTGTATGAACATGTAGGTCCGTATCAATAATACGTGAACGAATGAAATAATAGATTATTCGTTTGTTCGAATCTAGAGTAAACAAAATGTAAGCGTCCATTACTGATGCTAGCGTGTGATCCGGAAATTTTGGATAAGACTTTTGCGTGTGTTAAAGAGTGATAGATATAGTTTTGCTATTTCGTTTGGATGTGAGCCCGGGCTACATTGTACTTGTGCTGTCTGTTTTGTAGCAGTCGCCCGCCGGTCGGTTTCCACATTAAACGATCATTCTAAGGGCGAACCAATCAAACTGCAAATTTATACAAATTGATACTAAACGGGTTATATTAATTTTATAACAAAAATTAAGTGTGTAAATAAGTTTGAACGGAACTGTAATTAAAACTAATTGGATGTAATATAGCGTTAATTATTTTGTATTAAGGCGGCTTTTTGCTTGATTTTTGTCCTTTTTGACATCACGCGTGATTTTTTTCTCATCGAAAAGTGTTCCAAATTTAAAGTTTTTCGGCAATGGTCGTTGCTCCCTCGTGTAGTATTTAGTATAACGACAATATACTGTAGTGGAGTAAGTGATTTAAATAAAAAGGATTATTAGTGTTGCTTTTTATAAATGATTTGTGTCCGAGTGCCGATGAAGATGGCGATATAGGGGGTGGCCAGGGTTGGCCTTTTGAGGCCATGCTCAATAACCTTACCGCCACAGCTCTAGGAGGTGAGTAAGCTTAAAGGAATGTAATATTCAGAGCCAAATTTTTTGGTGTGTTTGTAAATCTTTTCACATTTAACAAGATACGTCGTTATATCTCTTAATCCAATAATTATGTACAGATTACGATAATTAATTATTTTAGATACTGTTTATATGGTACATTCGGACAGTTACGAAAATGGTTATATTGCGATTTATATTAATTTGTACCAAACACAGTGACATACCTAATATATTTATTAGCAACTTAAAATTAGATGCCATCATAATCATCCACCGTCTCTCCGGCTGACTCCAAAAAATATATGTCGTTGCGTTTGGTAGAAATTTATATATATAAATCGAATACATCTATATTCGTAATTGCCCCAATGACCCTTACATGGGGCAATTTCTAAAGTGGATTGAATTGATTATTAATTACAACTCAATTTACTTAAAACGGAATTTATGAATGAATATTACTAATTATAGGTATAGACTTAGTAGGTGGTAGGATTCGTATTATACCTAGGAGTCTATCTGGGTAGGTGCTACCTTCTTACCTATTACCACCGCCACATAGCAGCGCACTGCTGTGCTTCTGTATGAAGGACATAGTGTGGTATACTCTCAGGCTGTAAGACCTGAAGATGTTATCATTTTTCAAAAATTTTTTGGAACTAGAAACAACCTTAATATATGTGCGTAGTGTCGTATTTCGATAAAATGTAATATAAGTTTAAGAAACGTTCGTGTCTAATCGAATTGTAGATCTTCATTTAAAATGACTCATTGATGGATGCTAACATGTTTAATTTTGTATTTTTTGTCCAATTGCCGGACTTTATTATTATGTCCCTAAATATGTTTTCACACATATGCAGGATTAATTAAAAAAATGTGTTTGTAATCAGTTATGCATATATGCTGCTATTTTACGCTGGTATTCCTGTGCGATAGTAGGTAGAGCCGATCCATTCGTGCTGCAACTGGAACCAAATAACGCTCTAGCTTGACTCTACAACGGGGCAATTTGACATATTAAGTTAAAGTTAAAGTTGCAGACTATATGCGTCACACTTCTGGGCACAGGCCTCCTCTCATTTCTAAGAGGGTTTTAGGGCGAGAAAGTGCCCAACGTGCTACCCCAGAGCGTGTTTGCGAACTCCACATATCTTCGAAATATTTTTTTTCTTATTTCTCAGACAGGCAGATTTCCTCACGATGTTTTCCTTCACCACCGAGCACTTGGTAAATTATTACTTAAAATTGCCATTATTAATTTCATTGGTGCCATGGTAGCTCAGATGGTTGGGGCTCGCTGTTAATTTGATATATTACAGATAGTTTAAAGAATAGTTTGCCCTTTTTACTGGAAATGAAGCCTGGAAGGCCTCATTTCCAGTAAAAACCTCACCTCACAGAAAACCAGAGTGAAGTAGAGGTTTACCTCTGCGTTTCGCTTGGTGAGTGCAGGTGGCCGGAGGCCCTTTTTAATGGAAATGAGGCATTCTATCTTAGTCCTCACGGGTGACAACGCATCTACATTTTGATTTATAATAGAGGATAGATGTAGATGTCTATGGGCCGCAGCAACCACTAACCATCAGGTGGACCGTGTGCTCGTTTGTCACCCTTAACCTATAAAAAAAATTCAATAGAAGAAATTATTTCTTTAAGCACTATTATCCTTATATAAACGTGGCTCTACTAAATATTCTATTATCTATACCCGATGGTGCTTCGATTTTTTACATTAAAAATGTAAAGTAATATTTCATAATGATTTCTTATATTTACACAAATAAGATATTGAATAAAACTAATTTTACCTATATGAAGCGTTTTATCCAATTTATTTTATTTATTTTAAAAGTCGGGAATTAATAATAAGTAAAATAAGTTTTATTAAATGTGATAAAATCCGTGAAATTAGATTCAAAATAGCAGACCAACTACCAGGTTGCTGCAATGCGAATAGACAAACAACAAAGCGCTGCAAAGATAATAAGGCCAAACCTGGGGCAGTGTGCTGTTGACTCCTTTTAAACATATTAGACAAGTGGGGAGGATGGAATAATACCCATCCATCTACAGATAGGTTTCGATATCCTTCTTCCTTATCTGGTGAATATCTTTAGTGCAAGTTTTGCACGGGGATATATTCCAGAACGATGGACAACATTCAAAGTTCTATTTATACCTAAGTCTGGTAGAAAGGACTACGTTTTACCAAAGTCTTTTAGACCTATAAGCTTTTCCTCCTTTCGTCTTAAGACATTGGAAAATGTTATAGATATATATATTAGGGAAGTAGCTATAGCTACGTTACCTATACACTATGTAGCCTGGGTCAGTACGACCCGCTTATCTGAATTATAAAAAAACATTTCACAATTTCATTTCTTTATTACCTTTACCTGCATATCTTACCAGGTCGTCACTCCATCTAGTGGGGGCCGCCCTACACTTCGCCTTCCGGTACGAGGCTGCCACTCGAGAACCTTTTTTCCCCATCGGTTGTCGGTTCTTCGAGCTATATGGCCGGCCCATTGCCACTTCAGCTTACTAATCCGTTGGGCTATGACGGTCACTCTAGTTCTACTGCGGATATCCTCATTTCTGAGTTTATCACGCAGAGAAACTCCGAGCATAGCCCTCTCCATAGCTCGCTGAGCGACCTTGAGCTTCCTCATCCGGCCAGCAGTGAAGGACCACGTCTCAGTTCCGTATGTCATCACTGGCAACACGCACTGGGTGTACAGTCTCGTTTTCAAGTTTTGAGGTATACCTGACGAGAAGATGTGCCGTAATTTCCCGAACGCTGCCCAACCGAGTTGAATCCGTCGGTTGACCTCTCGGTCGAAGTTGGACTTACCTAGTCGGACTATTTGTCCCAGGTAAACATACTCGTCAACAACTTCGAGCTTAGTGTTCCCAACAACTACCGGCATAGGTATGACATGGACATTAAACATGATCTTTGTTTTGTCCATGTTCATCTTAAGACCTATCCGTTGGGAAACACTATTGAGGTCATTGAGCATAGTGCTTAGGTCCTCCAGCGATTCTGCCATAAGGACTATATCGTCGGCAAATCGAAGGTGAGTGATGTACTCGCCATTGATGTTGATACCGTATCCTTTCCAGTCCAGAAGCTTGAAAACATCTTCCAATGCAGCGGTAAAGAGTTTCGGGGATATGACGTCACCCTGTCTTACACCTCTCTGCAATTGGATAGGTTTTGATGGATGCAGGTGGCTCAGGACCGTGCTTTATGGCATTCTTTGGGGGAGGCCTATGTTCAGCAGTGGACTTGTGAAGGGCTGTAATGATGATGATGATGATGATGATTACCTTTACCTAAGCAGTCGTGCAATAGTGTAAATTCGTACTTTGTAAATATTGGAGAGAAACTTGCAAATGATATAATCAACTGCAGAACCTTTCAAACAACAACCTCCCCACAAACCCCATCTAACATCACATCTACTTCATCTTTTGTCCTAGATCCTACAGATCCTAATGAAATTATTTCAGTTATAGACTCCTTACGGTCTAATGCTGCTACTGGTTGGGATGGCATTTCGCCTTCCTTCCTAAAGAAATACTCAACCACTCTGGCACCAATCTTATGCCATATATTTAATCTTTGTTTCGACACTGCTGTCTTTCCCACGTCACTTAAAAAGGCAATTATTCATCCAGTCTTCAAGGGAGGTGACGGGAACGTACCGAATAATTACCGTCCCATAGCGGGTCTCAGTACTCTATCAAAGGTTCTCGAAAGATTGATTAATAAAAGACTAATTTCCTACCTCGAACATTATAATTTAATTTCTTCACAGCAGTTAGTTAGGCTTTCGCAAGAATAAATCGACTAATGATGCAGTTCAAAGTTTAACCGATCATGTCGTTCAGAACTTGAATCAAGGTAAAAAGGTCCTAACTATACTTTTGGATCTCGCAAAAGCGTTTGACACCGTTCCTATCTCAACTTTCTTACTCAAATTAGAAAAGATAGGTGTCAGGGGGTTGCAACTAGATCTCTTTCAAAGTAACCCCACAAATCACTCCCAGTCTGTCAGAATTGATGATCACAATAGTGATCACCTCCCAGTCTATTACGGCGTATCACAAGGAAGTATATTAGGTCCCACACTATTCTTAGTGTTTGTGAACGATCTATGAAACCTTAATATTTCAAATGCTAAGATTATATCATTTGCAGATAATACTGCAATAACATTAGTCGCCGAAACATGGTCTGTACTTGAGCACAAGGCTCAAATTGGCTTCGACCTTATAACAAATTGGCTTTATTCCCACACGCTAACCCTTAATGCCTCCAAAACTAAATTTGTTACCTATTCGATTAGTTCAGCCTCCCAACCAAATTTACCAATATCCCTTAAAGCTCACTCTTGCCACAGACATACTCAGGTCTCTTGTCAATGTCCCACCATATCCTCTGTTGACCATATAAAATACCTAGGTATAATCTTAGATATATAGAGAGTCCGTAAATTAATTTACGTATTTAAAACCCTAAGAAGTATTGCTAACCCTACTGTTATACGTAAAGTTTTTTTTTTGCCCCATAGATTACCCCCTAATCTATGTTTTGCCCTATGCTTATCCATTATTATATACTGTATTTCCTGCTGGGGTGGTGCTGCTAAAACTAACCTAAAGAAGTTGGAGATGGCACACAGAGCCATTTTGAAAGTGGCTACTTTCCGACCTATCATTTTTCCAACTAATCAGTTGTACAATGACTGGAACGTCCTTAATGTTCGGAAACATTTTATTCTGCAAACAGTTCTAATGCAGCACCGCAAAACCCCTTACAGGGAAATAAGTAAACGTCGAAAAGACAAAATTTGTTCTCTTCCACAAGTTCGCTTATCATTCACTAAAAGATTCTGTTATTTCCTGGGTCTGTCCCTTTACAATAAAATAAGCGAAAAATATCCTATATATGGGTTATCATTATATAACTGCAAGAAGACTGTCCGCTC